CTTCCAAAGGTACGTCTGCTTTCTCTTCCGAAAAAGACAAACTTTTTTTTTGACAGCGCAATTCACACATGCATCAGCCACCATCAGGATTTTAGCCCTTGTCTTGTATTATAGATCTTTTTTCAGTTGAGAGTGAGTGAGTTTTGGTTTGGATCTGCCAACCATACAGACGCCTCTCCATCATCCTTACCCTGAACTGACCGCCATTCCCATCATCCAGCTCCAGGATGTATCCTTCCACCTGCACCGTGGACAGAGGCGGCTGCTTCCATGACAAAGTGACGCTGTTGTTGTGGGTGCAGCTTTCTTCCAGCTGAAGGATCGGAGCAGCCGGTACTGGGGAGGAAGCTAAACAGAAATTAGTGTAACCCTGACTTCTTACCACCATCTGCGATGGAAGGCTCACAAGTTCTGCAAGCATTTGGCTTTGGGTAGAACAGCTCACCTAACCAGAGCAACAACAAAAATGAGCAGAGGCTGAAACCAACTGGAATTTCTGAGTCACTTCCATGTCAATGGGGCAGTGAGTCCACACCGGGGGTTTCAAGCAAGCAGAGCCACCCAAGGTATTCAAGCTATATTGAACAATGGAGTTTAGTACCTTAAACTTCGGATTGAAATCCAGCCCATATTCCCTGCCCCATTGATAAGGAAGACACCAGCTGCTCTTGGGAAAAATTAGTTCAGCCACATTCCTTGGCCATGCCTCTCCTTCACTGAGATGCTATATCTAGGATGAAGGGAAACGGTGAGTCCCAGTTTTAAACCAAGTGCCTACATTATAATTTATGCTCTGAAATTTAATGAATCTGCAGCAATGTTGCAGGAACGTAATGGAACCCCATGAGTAAATTGCAAATACATGCACCTGAACACCACCAAGGGTGCTCTGATGTGCATTTTTAAATGCACCAGGCATTTTTAATCCACATTGGATACTTCTGATGTGCACTGGGCACTTCTGATGCACATTGAGCACCTCTGATGCACATCAGCCCCCTCTTGTGCTCTGGGCCTTCCTAGATGACATCCAGATGCACATTGGGGAGGACCTCAATGTGCATTGATGCCTGTCGCATCAGTCACTCCGCTAGCTGTTATTGTGAAACGGATGCCTGTCCCTTGTTGAACACTGTTGTTGCTGTGTGCCTTCAAGTCATTTCCGACCTATGGCAACCCTAAGGCAACCCTATCATATGATTTTCATGGCAACCTGCTTCGGGGGTGGTTGGTTGCATTGCCACCCTTTGCGGATGAGAGAATGTGACTTGCCCAGGGTCACTCAGTGGGTTTACATGGCCAAACTAGGATTTGAACCCTGATCTCCAGCGTCATAGTGCAATGCTCAAACCACTACACTATATTGGCTGCCATAGACATAGCAAAACTGCTCAATTCAGTCATTTGCACGTACGTATAAAGCCATTTCCAAAGATGTAAGTCCCAAGCAGAATCCCAGCCTTTTGCTATTACTTGGAGACTTTCATGCATTCTTTTTGCTTCCTTTACTGTCCTCAGGTTGCAAGACTTTTTTAAAAAATGCTGCAATGAAAAATCTGTACATATATTTGTATGCTTTTCCCCCTTCTTATTGTTGTGGTGGTGAGCCTTCAAGTCATTTCCAAACTATGGCAACTCTAAGGCGAACCTATCATAGGGTTTTAATGGCAAGATTTTTTCAGTATGGGTTTGCCATGGCCTTCATCTAAGGCTGAGAGAGTGCAACTTGCCCAAAGTATTTTTTGCACACATCTTCCAGAGTGCATGCATTTTCCCATGAGCTTTTACCATTGACTAAAATATGTGCATTTTAAAAGCTGTTCAATGTTTTAAGGCACACGTTGTTTTGTGTGTAACTTGTTTCTACACAATGCACCACAAACCTCAAAAATGTATATTTTTGAGGGAAGCTCTGCAAATATTAGGTGGTGCAAAATGAGTACCTTTACCGAAACTCACCATTGTTATGCCAACACTATTTTAGATGCACTACTGGGGTTTTTGAACCCCAAATGCATTACAAATAATGACATCAGTTGCAATTCATTCATCGAGGAACATATTCATTTTGTAAAGTCACATAATAAGCTGCAACCATAAACTAGTAAAGTTTACTCATTACTTGTAAATGCTTTTTGGAGGGTGGTTTTCAGAAGGATTTGGATCCTTGTTTCTATGTTTCAATCTTTGTGGAAAGATAAAGTAAAAAAGAATGAAAAGGGGTTATGTTGGTAACATATTGCTAACACATTGATCTTAAAGGAAAAGCAGTGCTACTTTTTTAAAAAGCAAAGAACAGTTGAATTTCAAAGTTCAGATGAAGACCTTCATTTAGTGGTCAAACTGGGATGAATAGCCGCATAAGAGCTCATAGACCTTGTTCCCTGTAAGCTTAAGGAAGCCAGCTCATTTTACCACATCTGAGAAGGCATTTTTCTGGATTCCTCTGCTTTGCAAGGCTTAAAAGTGCCTCTATAGTGGGCAGATGGGACACACCAACACATACACACCCAGTGAGAAATGCAGGTCTGTTGTGTCCTCTTTGCTTTGCTGTGGCTCTCCAAATGGGCTTTCAATCATGTGGAAATGGAACAGAGCTAGCAAAGAGGACAAGGATGAATGCAAAAGCAGGCAGAAGGGCAGTGATCAAACA